GCAACAATACCAATATGTCAGCAAACTCTTGGTCGCGACAACAGCTGAGAGAGTGTTTGTTTATGTCTTTTTAATGAGCTGCTGACTTTGTAGTACAAGAGATTTGGGGCAGCTTTAAAGTCATCTGCTTACTTGCATGTATGAATAGCTGCTATTCTCTCCTGCAGGGAAAGCAGCTGACAGAGCACAGTCTGTGCTTGATTGGCTTCAACAGAGTGCAGAGGTAACATTAGGGGTCTACTAGACCCCTGATGTCTCCCTAACCACTTGTTATCTGGACGTTGTATAAAAAACTGCCGGATGGTTGCTTCTTGTGGATAAGCGGCCATTTTAAAAAGAACTCCCTCTTTAATGACCTCCCCTCTAGCACGCTGTGTGGTTGCTATGGCCATTGCACACAGCAGATTACAAATCAAGGGTGCAGAGCCAATGAAATTGTTCCTATACCATATGATTGCTATAACCAGTCACAACAATCACACATGTAAACAATTTGCAGCCAGTGCTGTTTCCTCCTCCTCTCACACACCAATCAGCTGGAATTGCACCAGCGTATTTTACACTTATTTTACACCAGTGTCACCCATTGTGTCCCTGATCACTAGCCACACCAGTCACATTGTCACCAGACAAGTACAGCCAGCAACAGTGTCCCTGATCATTAGCCACACCAACCACAGTGTCATCAGACCAGTGCAGCCAGCCACAGGGTCCCTGATCGCCAACCATACAAGTCACATTGTCATCGGACAAGTGCAGCCAGCAACAGTGTCCCCAATCATTAGCCACACCAGTTACAGTGTCTCCAGAGCTTTTGCAGTCAGCCACAGTGTCTCTAATCACTAGATACACCAGCGCCAGTGTCACCAGACTAGTGCAGCCAACAACAGTGTTCCTGGGTGTGGCAACACCAGCGCCAATGTCATCAGACCAGTGTAAGCCAGCCACAGTGTCTCTGATCACTGCCATACCAGCCCTAGGGCCCCCAGACCAGTAGAGCCACCCATAATGTCCTTGATTGCTAGCCATGCCGGTCCCAGCATCACCAGAGCCAATGAAACAAGCAACAGTGTTCATGATCACCACTATAGAGGAGAGAAAAAAAAGGAGGCGCCAAAAACTAAGTGCAGATTATTGTTGTCACATTTAATGGATAGGTATAAAAACACTCACAAGAACACAAAAGTATAATAAAGCTCACCTGTATAAAATGTCATCAGTGTAGGACCACCCTCCTCCATTCTTTAAGGTACCGCCGGACAAGCCAGAGTGACAGCTGGAGCCGTAGATGCAGTGGAGGGACTCCCCTGGGTGTGTGGCTGGGTTGGAGCCAATCAACGGTGTCTGTATCCAGGAAATGGCCGCACAACAAGCGTGGAACACACCAGTGGAAGTGACGTCACCGGAAGTAGGAGGATCAACCGAAGATGTCGGGAACACAGGCTTTTTTTTTCTGTGTTCTCGACATCTTCAATTGACCTTCCTACTTCCGGTGACGTCACTTCCGCTGGTGTGTTCCACGCTGGTCCATTTCCTGGATATGCAGTTAATTGGCTCCAGGTTCAGGCCCAGTTTGGTTTTTGGAATGCTTTTTTGTTTTTCTGAGGTGGAGGGGGGGAGAGAGAGCAATCTGTGCTGAAACCAGATTCTGAACTGGAGTCCTAGTTCTGAACTGAAATCCTGTTCACAACTGATGACATGCGTAGTTCAGAAGCAGTTCCCATCGAAGTCAATAGCCTGTAATCAGCACATGAAACCAAACCATATTGCTCAGAAATCGGACAGGACTCTTTCTCAATCCACACTGAATCTGCACTGCCAGTGCACCAGACGTATGTGAACAGGCACCATAGGAAGCAATGTTATTTCACATGTCATGTGGATCAGATACTGTTCAAACCGCATCCAATCGGCATATATTTGAACCGGCACTAACACCAGTGCAGGCAACAACAGTGTTCCTAAATGCTGGAAACACAAGTGTCAGTGTTACTGGAACCAGTGCAACCAGCAACTTTGTTCTTGATCACCACCACACCAGTGCTAGTGTCACCAGACTGTGGAAGCCAGCATTAATGTCCTGCTCACTAGCCACACCAGTAACCAGTGTAAGCCAGCAACAGTGTCCAGATTGCGGCTACACCAGTACAGTGTGCCCACAACCAGTGTAAGCCAGCAACAGTGTCCACATTGCCGCTACACCAGTACAGTGTGACCACAACTAGTGTAAGCCAGCAACAGTGTCCAGATTGCGGCTACACCAGTACAGTGTGACAACAACTAGTGTAAAGCAGCAACAGTGTCCAGATTGCGGCTACACCAGTACAGTGTGACAACAACCAGTGTAAGCCAGCAACAGTGTCCAGATTGCCGCTACACCAGTACAGTGTGACCACAACCAGTGTGACCAGCAACAGTGTCCAGATTGCCGCTACACCAGTACAGTGTGACCACAACCAGTGTAAGCCAGCAACAGTGTTCAGATTGCCGCTACACCAGTACAGTGTGCCCACAACCAGTGTAAGCCAGCAACAGTGTCCACATTGCCGCTACACCAGTACAGTGTGACCACAACTATTGTAAGCCAGCAACAGTGTCCACATTGTCGCTACACCAGTACAGTGTACCCACAACCAGTGTAAGCCAGCAACAGTGTCCACATTGCCGCTACACCAGTACAGTGTGACCACAACCAGTGTAAGCCAGCAACAGTCCAGATTGCCGCTACACCAGTACAGTGTGCCCACAACCAGTGTAAGCCAGCAACAGTGTCCAGATTGTGGCTACACCAGCAGTGTGCCACAACCAGTAAGCCAGTGTGTCCAGATTGCCCACAACCAGTGTGTGACCACAACCAGTGTAAGCCAGCAACAGTGTCCAGATTGTGGCTACACCAGTACAGTGTGCCCACAACCAGTGTAAGCCAGCAACAGTGTCCAGATTGCCGCTACACCAGTACAGTGTGACCACAACCAGTGTAAGCCAGCAACACTGTTCTAATCACCACCGATGTTAGTGCAACAATCTTCCCACTGAGCTATTGTGTTCTGACATGGGGCGCGTTCCACATTTTTTCTCCTCCTCAGCTCTTCTCCTGAATGTACCTTTAGTAGGCATTTTTCCAGCCTGCAGATTCTCGTCTAACACGCCAGTAAATGCCTATGTGTGCATGGACACAGTGGTGTATTTAGGTTTTGTGCTGCCCTAGGCAACACAAAAAATTGGGCGCCCCCCACGGAGAGAGCCTGACATTGACCAACAACACCCCTGCCCACCCCCCTGAGAGAGCCTTCCACTAATACCCCCCCTCCCTCCACGGCGAGAGAGAGAAAGACACTCACCTTCACAGCTCTGGACATCCCCCAGAACAAGAGTCAGGCTCTACATACACCACCAAGCAGCCCACAACCTCTCTCAGATCTCACCTGGTCCCCATACCACATGTGTCCCTTCTTCCATCCCTTCTTCCGGGGGGCACTGCTGCCTCCCTGAAAAATGCCACCCTAAGCAAATGCCTTGTTTGCCTTGTGGTAAATATGCCCCTGCATGGACATTTAGATTTACATACAGGTGCTTTTACAAATTGAAAAAAAAAAAAAAAACGCTCAACGCCTGGAAAGCTGCATTTTTTAAGCTTTGTGTGCATGAGTCCTTATTGTTTGCTGAATGCAGATTAGTTAAGATTTACTGACAGCTGCAATGCAAAAGTCTGTTCACTCATGGGCAGACATTGGTGTTATCTGGCAAATCATGTTCATGAAGGAAAAAGTAAAGGTTAATTTACATTTGTTTTACGTGACAAAATATTCAGATGTCTGTTTTTTGCTATTCAGAAATCAAAACCACAATTTTTTTAACATTATGGTTTATAGAAATAATACAACCTCTTCTACCTAAGTAGGCTTTTCCATAAGGAGATAAAGGACTCTTTCACTCAAAAGTAAATTAGCCACTATTTCACTTTCTGAACAGAACGCTAGTCAAATAAAATGATATAACAAAAAAGGGTATAACAGCACCACCTGCAGATGAAACATCATAGCAATGGAAGTATTTACTTTTGCTGGAACACTAAAGCTGTTACCTGTTAAAAAAAAAAAAGGTGCATGCCAAAAACTAGATTTTTCTTATTTTGATTTGGTTTTTATTTTGAGATAATTTAACTGAATTGTTGTGGTCCTCAGAAAAAAGGTAGCTAAGTCTAATGTACCATTTGTTTTGCATGGAGAACTTATTCTTGGACAGCCTCCTTATATATGGAGGGAAGGGACTTTACTAGACAAGGTATTTGGATCATGTTAAAGGTATTTCTAAATTAAAATAAGAGGTTACAAAAGGTAGGCACTAGCAATATCTTAAAAAGGAACTTCATCTTTGTCATAAAAATGACAACAAAGGCACCCTTAGAAATGTTTAACAATGGCAATCTACAAACGTATAGATAATTACAGGCTTTTGGCTTGTAAAGCCTAGTAAACACTATCAGAAAAAAACATACAAAATATAGCTCTCAAAGCAATTGTACGATAATCTGATTATTAGTACACAGCTTTTCGAAATTATTCAAGGGGACAAGCAAGAAAATTTTTCTCGTATACCAGATCATACGATTTTTGTTTAAACAGCACAGTTTTCATCTGAAAATAAAATACAAATACAATACATTACATCACTTTAGAATTTTTATTCTGTTGTACAAGAATTTTCATAACTTTAGCAACCTCTTCACTTTGATACGAGACTAGAATGTAAAAAAAAGGATGATCATTCGTCCAATATTCTCATTGTGTGTGCGGGGCCTTACTCTTTGCAGACCTAAAATAAGTCATTGTGAGAAGAATGAGGAGGAAAAGGAAGATATTTTTTCCTCCCCATTCTCACGATGGCCATTTTCATTAAGGGCTCATTTAAACCGCAATCCCCATGTTCAATGTGCAGTATGCATTGTAAAGGATTTTCAGCACATTTGCAGCATGTGCTTTGTCGCGTTTACATTTAAATGCATTAGCAGTGTGCAGGGGCGGACTGACCATTTGGAAACTCGGGCACTACCCGAGGGCCCGGGGTCAGTAGGGGGCCCCATGAGATGCCCCTGGTATCTTTTTGATAGTCTTTTTTGAGTTTGGGCAAGGACACAGGGTCCACATGATCCCCTATTGCCCGGGGGCCCCATGAGTTGTCAGTCCTCCCCTGGCAGTGTGTTCAGGTTCAGATGTTTTGGTACGACTACATGAAAAAAATGCAGCATACTGTACTATTTTAAAATGTGCATGAAAGCATTGCAATGGTGAAAACTAAGCTCATTTAAATATATTTTTCTTTATATGCATTCATACTGAGCTTAAAAAAGTTTGACTCTATCTGGTGTAAACGAGTCCTATGGGTAGATGGATCCATCTCTCTTCACTTCCTGGTACTCTAGGTCTTCCTCCTGGAACATGTAACAGGAACTTCCCAGGATGCAGCTGTGAGGCCCTGGTTACGTTGCCAGTGCCTTACTCAATCAGGAAATGGAAAAAAAACGTAGGTGTAAGTAAAAAAAAAAAAAAATTATTGTTTAACTAATCAGTGTAAGATGAATTCATATCAGCATGCAGAGCTGTATGCTGTTACTTTTAGTAAAAATAGTTGGTACTATGAAAGGTTAATTTGTAAAACATTGTAAAAAGTTAATATATACCTAAGGTTGCAAATTATAGGTTGGCCTTAGATGGCCCTAGAATTATTCCTCTTGGTCTCACATGACACCTAAAATGTGTTGTGCAGTCTGCAAATGTTAGGTACATTAGGGTAACAGTGTTTATGACACATAGTTGTAGACATTGAAAATAACTAGAAGGAACACTTTTCATGGGTCTAAGAAGAAGAATGTGGCACAGACATAGGGCAGGGACAAAAAGTGGATCTGACCAATTAAACTGAAGGAGTGTGTTAGAAGAAAGGATAGAAAAAGGGAGTTCCAGTGCTGTTCCCCCTACCTACCTCCTTTCTTCTTCCTTCCTTTTCTACATTCTCTCTCTCTCCCCCACCTTTCCTTCTCTTCCTTCTCGTCCTTGCTCCATATTCATCAGCCGATTAATAAATTAATTATAGTATTTTAGATTATATCAACTTCTCTTCCCTTTGTCCTTTTTTTTTGGTAATGGGAGATTATATATATATATATATATATATATATATATATATATATATATAAAAAAAAACATAGCTAGTATAACATCTGTACTTTTTATATTTCGGAAGAAGATTATAGTAGAAAGTGTCAATACATTTTAGTTTTTATTAATTTGTGGATATACAGTGAAGGAAATAAGTATTTGATCCCCTGCTGATTTTGAATGTTTGCCCACTCACAAAGAAATTATCAGTCTAAAAATCGAATGGTAAGTGTAGTGTAACACTGAGAGACAGAATAGCAACAACAAATTCAAAAGAAATGCTTGTCTAACAAATTATTCACTGATTTGCATGTTCATGAGGGAAATAAGTATTTGATCCCTTATCATTCCGCAGGATTTCTGGCTACCAAGTATCTTTCATACAGGTAACAAGCTGAGATTAGAAGCAGTCTCTTGAAGGGAGTGCTGCTAATCTCATTTTGTTACCTGCATAAAAGATACCTGTCCACAGGAGCAATCAAAAAATCATATTCTAAACTCTCCACAATGGCAAAGACCAAAGAGCTGTCCAAGGATGTCAGGGACAAGATTGTAGACCTACACAAGGCTGGACTGGGCTACCAAACTATCGCCAAGCAGCTTGGTGAGAAGGTGACAACAGTTGGTGCAATCATTCGCAAATGGAAGAAACACTAAACAACTGTCAGTCTCCCTAGGTCTGGTGCACCATGCAAGATCTCACCTCATGGAGTGTCAATGATCATGAGAGCAGTGAAGAATAATCCCAGAACTACACGTGAGGATCTTGTCAATGATCTCCAGGCAGCTGGGACCACAGTCACCAAGAAAACAATTGGTAACACACTACACCAACAAGGATTGAAATCCTGCAGTGCCCGCAAGGTACCTCTGCTCAAGAAAGTACATGTCCAGGCCATCTGAAGTTTGCCATTGAACATCTGAATGATGCAGAGGAGGACTGGTTGAAAGTGTTGTGGTCAGATGAGACCAAAGGGACAGAATGGGCTTCACAGGCTACTTATGTATATATGCTGTATGTTTTCATTATACTATTCTACTTATACGACTTAAATTCTAAAATATATTCTCCCTGCAATCTAAGAGCATAATGTGCTATTATGTATTGCATACTAGCACATTATGAATGACCTACCTGAAAACAAAGCCCTTAAGTGGAGTGCTGTCACGGCTCCCTGAGACTTCCATCTTCACCCGGTCTTCCTTCCAGGTTCGTGAGTTGCGCTCATCTGCTTGGCCGGGCCACGATGTCATCACTCCTGCGCATACAAAAAGGGACTTTCGGCTGCGTCATTGCTCTCTCAATGGATTTTCTAGAGTAAATATCTCCTAAACGGTGCACGTTTAGGAGATATTTACAGTACCTAGAGGTAAAACTTACTAAAGGCTTACCTGTAGGCAAAATATGCAAAAAGGAGTTTACGTACACTTTAAATGAGCAGAAGATGTCCAAAAATGCTATGTGCATTCCCAAATATTCTATTCATTTTTATTTTATACTATTAAGCTGAGAAGCTACATTAACCTTTATAATAAATAGTGTGAGATGAATTTCCATTTGTTTGAAATATGTATTTTATTCATTTTGTATGCTTTTTTATTATTTAAAATGCCACATTTTGTTTTTGCAGTGTCTATTATTCAAGAACCAAGGTGTTTGCACAGTGGAATGTAAAAAGTAGTTTGATATGTAGCAAAGAACAAAATGTACCCTTTCTTGTCAGAAGGCAGTTTGTTTGCCAAAGACCTGAAGAGCCATACAAGGATGAGTGTCTGGAGGCAATAGTGAAGCGTGGTGGAGGCTTTTTGCAGGTTTGGGTCTGCATTCTGCACATGAAGTTGGGGGTTTGGACAGGATTAATGGTGTCCTCAATGCTTAATATTACAGGCAGATATTTATCCATCATGCCATACTATCAGGTAGGATCTAATTTCAGGATAATGATACGGAAAATACAGCCAAAGTCATAAGTTATCTTCAGTGCAAAAAAAGAACAAAGAGTCCTGAAAGAGATGGTATATGGTATGGCCCCCACAGAGTTCTGAACTCAACATTCCTAAGTCTTGGGATCACATGTAGGCCTTACCTAGGACAGCCTGTATGTAAATGCTCACTGTGCTAGGTAACACCCACTGCTTCAGACTGACATCCCCCAAGTAAGGCATTTTGATATTTGCATAACTCCTCCCAAGATCCAGCCCATTGCTTGCATCAGGTGTGAGAGCTCCTGGGAGGAGTATTTAGGCAGGGTGCTGTCATGTTTTCAGGAAGCTATGTAAAGCACCCAGCCGATGCCTCCCACCAGCCATGATTTGCAAAGAGAAGCACAGAGACCTAGTGATGATGTCACTGGGTCTAAAATAAGGTATGTAACGGAAATTTAATTAGCATGTTGATGAGGAGGAGTTTAGTAACCAGGAAATGCAAAATATAAGTATTTAAAACTTCAGCTTTAACCACTTCCCATCCAGCCCATGTCTATAAACGGCTTGACTGGAGCACCGCGGAAGCAGGTTGACGTTTCTAAACGTCCTCCGCATGCACTGCCTGTGCGCGCTCCCTGGGAGCACACAACACCGTGATCCAGTACCCGCTGTGTCCGGGTACCGGAACACTGATCGCTGTATGGACCTCTGTGTGAGGTCCCAATTCATGTGATCCCTGATTGGCCAATCAGTGAGCAGTAGTAAACAAGATGTCCCTTCCTGACATCATTGCTTACTACTTGTGAAATCTGTGAATGATCACAGAGGTCACATGGTACAAGGCTATTCAAAACAGCCTGGTACCATGTGACAAGCTGTGACCAATCACAGCTCACACAGTATTTCTCAATGGCTGTAAGAGTGCAGCCAGTGAGAAATAGAAATAAAGACTTTTACAGTCTTTATGGGTGTAAAAGCAATCAGTGTAAGAAAAGAAAAAAAAAAAACTTCATCACTCCCCACAAGTAGTACAGTGTCACTATGGTGACACTGTACTGCTAGGGTGACAGTATGTTATAAAAATTAAAAAAAACATAAATAATATAAAAAAATAAATAAAAAATGTAAAACAAAATTTGAAAAATTATAATTTTGGGTTATTTTTTTTTTTTTACTAAAAAGATAGCTGAATACATTTTGGCCAAGATTTATGAAGAAAGATTATTTATTTGCAACATTTTATAAGAAAAACACTTTTTTCAAAATTGTTGGGCTTTTACATTTATATATTAAAAAAATAAAAAATCCCAGTGGTGAATAAATACCACCAAAATAAAGTTTTATCTGTCTCAAAAAAAGCGCTAAAAAATTCATATGGGTACTGTGTTGCATGACCGCGCAATTGTCATTCAAAGTGTGGTAGCACTGAAAGCTGAAAATTTGCCTGGGCAGGAAGGGGATGACTTGAAGTTGTTGAAGGGTCTATGAAATTTTAGTAATTGGGTTTTGATCAGTTTTAAAGAAGAGAGACATGAAAAGCATACCCTCACTGCTATGGCATGCTTACATTTTTATTTTAAGATGGAATTTGGACGAGCTTGGGTCCTCTCTTTGCAATTCATCATCTTTGTCTGGTACTATTAATAATTTCATGCACTCTGTATTTTACCGTTTTTACAATTCTCTGAGGACACACGCAAATGACAAAGGCACCTCAAATCCTAAAATAAGTATGTCTGCACATAGTTTTCTGTCAAAGTGCAAATTCCAAAGAAGTAACACATTGATTTTTTTTTATGAATATTGTGTGAGGAGAAAAGAAAAATGCAACGAAGAGTAAGAAATATTGATTCAAGAGCATTGATTTAGAACTGCGGGCTACCTACTGATTACTTACTTTTCGAACAGCTCTCACAGGTGACTCGCCAACATTTCTCTATCGACTTCCAAAGACAGCGAATGCCTCAATTGTATCCAAAGCGCAAAAAATGCATTACAGAGGAAAATGATCATTATTTTTTGGAAGAGATGCTGCAAGTGAAAGAATTTTTGGCGTAAACATCCCAGAGTCATTTTGTTCAAGTTTCAGTAACAGATTGTTTTTATAAAGCAAATAAAGAAGTAAAAAAGATACACAAGTAAAAAAAATACATAATGTTTTGTATCATGCAAATTTACTAAAACATTAGGTAATAATATAATAAAGTATAACGTAATATTAATGGAGATATTGAGATATGTGGAGAAGTTTCCATTTTCTGTAAATATTGACAACCAATAGAAGTCTGAGAAGCTGCTGAAATTCTTCCAAGACAATGACAATGGCTATTCTATAACTATCCTGTACATGTTACTAGTAAACAGTGCGATTTGGAGATGATCATGGAGGCATACAAAACTCTCTCAGTCAAGTATAGAAAATAATAACAAATTCCTTTTAAAACCCAAAATATTTTATTTTGTTTTATATAGAGTGGGTAAGCATTAGTTTCTATCAAGATTTTATTGTTGCCTGTGGTCCTAATAGGGAGGGTTTCTAGCACTTCTTTTCAGGGCAAGAAGTGATGGGAAATCTCCCCGATGGGGACACAGACTTCCTCTTGGCTATATTCACACCGATGATTTAGCCCAGTGCAAATTGCAGCGGTAGGAATCTTCTAATTCCTGCTACTACTGTGCTACTATGAGCTGTGGCCTCCGGCGCCTATTCTCTATAGTGACAGGATGCTGGCAACTGCAGCTATTCGTGGCTGTCTGCACAGCTAGCAACTACCAGCGGTGATGCCTTTCTCTAGCAACCTATATGCACAGTACTGCTCCCTTGTAGTGTAAGGACTATACTGACAGCTTTCCTGCTACCTGTCCTTGATTTAGGCATATGTTAAGGGTTACTAAACCCACAACAGTAAAATCAGTCTGTATTTGCAGTAAAGCATGCTTGTTATACTCACTGTGGAACCTAAGGGGTTAATCCTCCGCATTGTGTAAAAAGGATGTTTGATCCTCTCTTCTCTGATCCTCCCCTTCTTCTACTGTCCCCAATATATCTCCTGATAGAACAGAAGCTCAGAGACAAGCTGCATGTGCTCAGTTTGGTGTGTATTGAGGGTTTTTGCTTTTCTTAGGAGAGTGCATGTGAACAGCATAGGGCCAATCAGCACTGTCCAGACAGAGGTCGGGGGTCCTACAGCCTTATAGGGGAGAATGAAAACGCCTCCTACAAGCTTTACCCAGTGCTCTGCTGGACACTGATAGAAGTCACAAGACTGCTCTAACTGCTGATGAGAAAAGGTATTTAGCCGTTTATATTTACTAAAATAATAGCATTTTCATGTTCTGTGGGAAACCAGATATAGTGAATGCAGGGTCCTGGGTTTAGTAACACTTTACGTTGAGATCAGTGACAAGTAATTTACCAGTTAACACTGCAAAATGCCACAAATCGGGGTTGCCAAAGAACCTATTGTTTTTTGCCATAGGGCTTCATGGTTTGCAGTTATGCCCGTCACCAGACACCCTACAATACTTGCTATAACCTCTTCAACAGAAAAGTGTCTTCTGTGCCCTGAGTGATTTAGTTTCACCTTGTTACTGACTTTCCCTGGCTAAGGCCTGTAAACTGCCATTTCACTTTCCATTGAGACTGCATCTCGGAGGCAAGTAAGGGCATTCTCATTGGACACTGCTTTGCAGTTGGAAGAGCTAAGCCATGAAGTCAAGAAAAGTTGGGATCCAGTAAAAAAATGTAACAAAATTATAGAGGCACAAAAGGAAGGTGTTTTTTTTTACCTAAAACAGTAACAACAACAGGCATCTTGTGGTGTCTGGTGTTCCTTCAGGACTTTTAAAAGTTTACAATGGAGTACAGGTGGCCTGTAAAGGGGCAACACCATTCCTATCGGCAGTTATTTAGACATTACGTGGAAGTTGAAAAAGAAGTACTCAATCAACAGAAAAAAGGAGGAATATTACCAAGCAGGGAAATGAGGGATAATGTCAATTTATTTAGGCGGAGTGAACACAGTTACAGCCTGCAGATCAAGCTGACGCAGATCCAATTTTTGCATTTTTCACAGCTGCTAGCTAGGGAATGATAGAGAGATGTTTCATATGAGAGGGAGCAACAATATGTTTGCAACAACCTCTATGCACAGGTACTCTTAGATAGGCTAGAAAAAGGAAGAGCACTGCTACCTTTAGGGCTCATGTACACTGCAGCTGCTAAACGCACGTTTAGAATCTGTTCAGCGTTTTTTTCAGCAGCCTCTGAACGCACCCTAATGTTTTCCTATGTGTCCATGTACACATCTTTGTTTACAGTCACTTACAGACAGTTGAGTTTACAGTCGTTTTTTTGAACGCAACAAACGTTTGTTCAGACGCCGATTTTATCAGTGTTTCAAACGCAAAATGCTTGTAAACGCAGCTAAACACGTCTAAAAGTGGCAAATCGCGGTTATAAGCATTTGCATTTGAATTTTTTTTCTCTTCCAGTTCTCAATGTTGTCCAGCGCCTTTTTTCATCATGAAAAATGCATGCAAAGTGTTTTCAAGGTGCTCAGATGGACAAAACACTTAACACAGGATGTTCCTACCAAGCTTGTCATACATTGTAATGACCAATTCACACCTCAGACCTCTCCTACCCTTGGAAACAAAAGATATCTTAATGACCATTCACACCTCAAATTCCTCATGAAGACCCCCTGCCAGGTGACCCTAATGACTCACTCCACCAGACACCTTTAACACCCTTGGAAACAAAAGAAAAGTTAATGAGCAACTCACACCTAATTATCTCAACACATTCTGCTGTGTCTGCTTCTACTCTCTGTATTTCTCTGAAACAGTCTGAAATAGTTAATAATTTACCACTTTTCAGTGCATTCTGGACATTTGGGAGGTTCTCCTGTGCTTATCTTTAAAAAACGCTTCTAAACGCAAACGCGCATAAACGTGTTATACAAATGCAGCTAAACAGACATTTTTTAACCTACGTTTTCCAGCAGTCAGTTTCCATCATTCAGAAACGTCCCGTGTACATGGGGCCTTAGAGGGAGCCATGACATGTAAATACTAGTTCCAGGTCAGTAATTCACTAGGTAATAAAAGTCAAGATCAAGATAATAGCCCTTCAGCATGCAAATCAGATCTTATATTTTTATTCTTCAAGGAAAGTCATACTCAAGCCCAGAACAGCCCAAAGAACTGTGCACAGCATTGGGACCCTGCGCGCATCTATGCGAGCACATACACATACATTTGGCATGAGCATTAGCAATCTGCGCAGGCTCATGTGCGCGAACGTGTCTGTTTGATAGACTTTAGTGCCCAGTGACCTATTTAAAGCTTTATAGGACTCAAGTTCATTGCTGAATGATTCCTGGCTCCTTTTGCTTGTGACCTGATCCTGTGTTCATCCGTTTGCGAACCTGGCTTGTTGATCCTGCTTGTTCCTGAACCTGTTTGCTGACTCTGGCTTATGTCCCAACCAGGGGCGGACTGACAACTCATGGGGCCCCCGGGCAATAGGGGTTCATGGGGCCCCTGTGTCCTTGCCCAAACTCAAAAAAGCCTATGAAAAAGGTACCAGGGGCATCTCATGGGGCCCCCTACTGACCCCGGGCCCTCGGGCAGTGCCCGAGTTTCCAAATGGTCAGTCTGCCCCTGGACCTGACCTTACTTCTTGCCTACTGTTCCAATACATCTTTTGCTTGCTTGATGCTAACCCTGGCCTGGCTCTGACTCTGCTCCTGGTTCCTGACTCTGTACTCCTACTGCCCAGTTATTGATGACCTCCTACTTCAGCTCTGCATCTGCTACCAAGATATTCCAAACCAGATATAATAAAGGCACCCATGCCACTCTGTGCCCCGTTATACTCTGTCATTATCCCAGGAAAAAACTAGACAAGAGTTGTAAGGACAGCCTTCTCATCAACTCGGCCTCGACCTGGTCCATGACAGGCTGCTTTTAAATGTACAAAAATTAATATAAAGCTGAATCTGGTGCAAACCAGAATTGTCAGAAACTGTTGTGACTGCATATACACTATTATAACTGAAACTGCATTTCCAATGTCACTGAAAAAAATCTTTAAAGGCTTTTTTTTTTTCTTTTTTAGAGAAAACACTCCTATATCTGCAGGTTATACAGAAATAATTTGAGAGCTTTTTGATTTTTATCAAAAGTGCACTTCAAACAAGACCTGGTACTCACATGGGAATATGAAGAGCTCATGCTTTTAAACACTAAGTTTCCAGGCAACGTTAATGTATTTCGGGAATTCAAGACCACCAGCATCTGCTAAATAAAAAGAATAAACTATTAACAGTCTGTAGATGGAGAAATAGTGTCCCAAAACACAAAAACACAGGAAAAAGCTGTTAGTGTATACAATAAAGGTACCTCTTTCTTACAGACATCCATCATGACAGAGGAGTTAAGGTTATCCGCACATTCCAGAAAAATCAATATAATACATCAGGGTTGACTTGAAAATATTGCTTTGCTTGTAGCCAACTGTCTTCATTGATATATTGGAAAAACATCTGACTGACTCGAGAAAAAAAATGAAGGAAATGTGCCATCCCTTTAACTGAAAAAAAAGACCTTGCTCACAAGCACAGATCTTAAAGTGAAAAAATGCTGGGCTGCAATCTTCTGGGGTGTGATTGTAAGCTCAGATTTACCATCCTTATCTGGGGATTCAGAGTACATATATCATTAAAGATGATTGTGCCAGATCCTCATGTTGGGAAAACCGAAACTAACTCAATCCACACACAGCTGAAGTTAGTTTACATATAAATCAGAAAGGAAAACATAGTCAGACTATCTCTGTACACCAAAACATTTTCTACAGTGAAGGTTTTACATGTATGCTCCATTGCTGTGCCTTCTTCTAATGGGTTCAGACTTTCAATGTTTGAGTTGAGAAGGTCCTTTCAGTGGTGACAAACTCCTTCTATTAATGGAAACTTTTTCTGAGATCAACTTGGAGACTGCCATTGTTTAAATTCAATTCTGAGAATACATATGCCCTCTCCATGCAGATACAGAATCCATCAGTGTAACTAGAACCTTCACAGCCAGATGCAAGAGACCAAGAAAGGCCCCCCTGACCCAAGTTTGGGGCCCTTTACTCCCCCATCATAGGGCCTTGTATTGTGGTCCTGCAGCGGGATTCTTTCACATGTTCTGCAGTGGGCCCCCTTCCTGTCCTTACATCAGAGTTCCTAGCATTCCCAGAGCCCCCTATATATCATATTTCTTCTTTACAGTACATGAGGGTCTGCAGGGTTCCCCCTTACAGTGCAAGGAGAACTCTGCAGACCCTGATGTAAAGGGGAACTGTGCGGACCCTGATGTAAAGGGGAACTGTGCGGACCCTGATGTAAAGGGGAACATTGAGGACCGTGTTGAAAGGGGGAACACTGACAGTGCAGGGAACTGGAGACACAGCAGGTCTGGAATGAAGGCTGGAACAGCAAGCTGGTAATTGGTTGCTAGGATGGCCCTGCAACCTCAAAACCAATCAACTGCTGTTAACTCGGGCAGCCCTCACCCTCCATCCAGAGCTGTCCTGCCTCCCGCAGTCTGTGGTAAAGCTTAATGTGGCAAGGAGGCCGCCTGGGTCCCCTGGAACATGGGCAGGGTCGCAATTGCAACCCCTGTGATCCCTAGCACTGTGCAAGTGAGTGATTCATAATTTGTTGTTTAAAATAAAGACCACAACTCCACGTGGTTTTCTGCTGAAAGTCCCTCTAGGAACAATGTAAAAAATGTATACCCTTCTATCCCCCTCTCTCACCAAATTTATTTTGAAGTTTATATATATATATATATATAAGCACAGTGAGCTTTAAAAAGCAGGTGGAAAACATATAAAAAATTCCAAATTCCAATGGTATAACCAGTATTGCTCCCTTAAAGCTGAAGTATAATCTGCTAATATTTTGCTTTTCTTTGTTTTACATGAAACATTTTTCATTTGCTTACGTCTTATTTTGGACCCATTGCCATCTTCACTAGGTCACTATGCAATCCAGGTAAATCATGGCTGGTGGGAGGGGCGGGCATGGAGCTGTATATAGTTTCTTGAAAATATCACAGCACCCAGCTTTAACACTATTCTCAAGAATCTTCAGCCCTGATACAAGTGTAGTGCCCTCCTAGGAAGCTAGGGGGAGCTAGACTCCAATGGTTAGACAGGGGCTGAGTAGGAGCCAAGGTGTAATAGCCAGACTGGGGTCAAATTATGAACAGGGCTAAGAGGCTCTGCAGGCCAGCCCCTGCTCTGGAGCTTTGGAGGGAGGCTCTAGAGGCAGTGAGTGGATCTGAGGAGTGACTGGTTGCACTTTTGAGGGGCCTCAATAGGAAGAAGGGTCAGCCGCACACTGGAGGATAGAGGAATATAGTGTGTATTTATTGATCCATAGGACATACAAAACACCAGGACATGAATACAGGACTTGTTAACACGTTTCACATGATCTCCTGCTTAATCATTAGTTATGATTAAGCATGAGATCGCGTAAAACACGTTAACAAGTCCTGTATTCATGTCCTGGTGTTTTGTGTGTCCTATGGATCAATAAATACACACTATAATCATCTATCCTACGGTGTGTGGCTGACCCTTCTTCCTATTGCATCATTTGTGGTGGTGGCGAGCCAGAGCCTGCACCCGTTGTGGATTGATCTGTATTGTTTGCCTGAGCGGTATACCTTTTGTTCTTGAGGGGCCTCAGCCAATCCCTAACAGAAGGCTTGGCAAGGGGCTGGGACACCCTTAAAAGTGCTGTAGCTTGCTCCGCAGCAAGAGAGAGTGTGGGTGGAAGATGGAGAAGTGAGGCTGAAGTGTAGGAGCCTGGGAGGGAGCCCAGGCTGGAAGGGGCTCACCTCCAGGCAGAGGGACCTTGAAGGGAAGAAAGCTGTGGACTTAACTGGCCCCCTGAGAGAGGACCACCTGACGGCAGGGAAGGAGCGGCCCAGCTGATAGGCCTGGTAGCAGCCACCTACCCAACTTTAACAGAGGAGGACTCAGTGAATACACCTATACCCCCTGGGCCAGAAAGAGGAGAGAGCATTTAAGTGGGGAACCTGACTAGCTCTACACCTGAGACTGTTACATTTAAGTGACTGCTTTCACTTCCCATGCTCAAGGATTCCTCCAGACAGCTGGATAAGAAGAGGATTTATCTGGGGTCTGGGGTGGTACACCAGGAGAGGCTGACACCCCCAATAAAACTTTAAAACAAAGCTCAAGGACTGTTTTTCTGTCTCGTGAAGCAAGTCTGAATGGAAAATGTGCAGTGGCTGTGCAGGACTATAGAGGAACTCAATTCACCAGCAACTCCTAAGGGTATAGCGCTACACAAACAGTGATCTGGTTCTTGGGAGGAGTTATGTAAAGACTAAAATGGGGGATTTGAGTCTGAAAGAGGGGGCATTTCTAGACAGGTTGCATTTGCACAAAATCCAGGAAATGAAAGTGATGAGTCAAGGACAGTACTGCTGGGGAGGAAAATCAGTCAAATCAGAATAATTAATTTCAATACAGGAGAGGAACCTGTACAAATGTGCAAGACTAAAGGTAAGGCTGGAGTTCAGATTCAAAGTAGCTATATACCCTGAAACATACCCAGTGATGTGACTGGCCTCAGGTGATACACAAAGATGAAACAAATCTTCCTATATAAACTGCACCTATCTGCAGTCTCCTCTTCGTCTGCACATCTGCTCAAAGTGCTAAATTTATAAAGCTTGTCTGAGAGTTCAGAAAAAAGGGGTCAGAAAGCAGAAATTACACTCTACTGAGCTCATTGAGGAGACCTCTGAGAGCTGATTGGAGGAAAGAGGCACATCCCCCGGCACACAGCTCACAGGAGCAGAGCTAAGGATGGATTCAATTTGCTGGAGGTACCTCCCCTGTCACCATTTTCCTGTTGGCATCAGGAAAACTTGTCAGAAGTGAGTCATGCAGATAGCAAAGGAATGAGGCAGCAGACAGAAATGATACATAGTGCTCTTAATTAAGACAAGTACACATTATAGATGGATATGCTTTGTTGTTTCATTACCTGCATTGTGTCCTGTGTCTGGCCTTACCCATGCTATGGTGCCATGCCAAAACTGACATTACTCAATCCCCCTCTGCCTACAGGACTGGCTTCACAGGCAGCTGTGTGTGTGAAGGAGCAATAGATTTTGGAGGAAGTGAGAAGACAGCTGAAACCAGGCCACAGACACTTTTTGAGCAGTCTGAGGGTGCTTTTTTATGAGTGTGTAGATCCAAGAGCATAAAGTTGTATTCCAGGGACAAAAACTTTCACTGAAATGTATTCCTAAATAGCCACACATAATCGAAATCCATTTTGTGTCCATCTTTTGCCTTTGAAAACCTAAATATTACCATGTTAAAAGAGTAGTGATATCATTCCATACCCTACAAACAAACAACACTACTAAATCATGTTCCAAAACATTTTGGCAATTGAAACTAATTACAAAATACTATATCACTGATATATAGTCCCAACTCGAACTGCACGTTATACCCTGAGGCACGCAGGGACATGCTTTTGTGGATGTTCAGATCCGGGTACCTGGACATATGGTGGATTTGCCCAATTGTCAATACTCTACAGACCTAAGTTTACAATATGTTGAAAACAATATTCAATATTGATATTTGGGAACTTCCTAGGGAAGCC